TTCTTCCCCATACTGATGCTCGGTTTGAACTGCAGGAGATTGTCTTGACCATGTCTACATGCCTAAATGCACTGAGTTGCCGCCATGTGATGGGCTGATTAGAAATTAAGTGTTAACGAGCAGTTGGACAGGTGTACCTAATAAAGTGGCCGGTGAGTGTATATCACAATACATCATGATGTGTCGTGATATGTAGCATATCACCAAAATATTTTCAATAAATAGCCCGWGCTACCATGGTAATCCAGGTACGTGAATTGTTAGCATGCTGTCTCTGAAAACTGACTTTAGCCTCAACATATCTCTCTTAGACATTTCATACTACATCTGAAACTGAGAAGTCGGCACACACAAGTTTGCAAGACATTTATTTTAGCMCACACCTTTCATAGTTAACAAGACACACAGCACAAAGCTCCTGGGAAACTCCTCCCACTGCAGCACATGTCAGAGTGGATTTCTTATCTGCCCAAATATCTGGTCACAGATAGAGCACCACACTTTTCATTTCTCACCAAAATGACCCACATTTCTTGCACACAAACGCCGTCTTTTTTAAGCAGAGTAGTTGAAGCAAAGGGACACCTTTGCTATATGAGGGCTTTTCTGCATAAACAGACATTCCTACAAACTTCTGACCAACCACACAATAATTTGCACATACTCCTTTGAGAAAAAGCGACCCTGCTTGACACGATTTTCATCATGCACTTATATTAATTAGAACCAATTTTGCAGCTTCAAATGTAGTATGAACTAAACTAAATGATTTATTATGTTCCTTTTTGATTTAAAAACAGATATGCTCTTGCTGTGGCCGTTCTCACTTCTCATGCACACCATGCCAGATGTTTTCTGCTTGTTCAGACCTGTGTGCATAAATTTTCATCAGTTGGCTTGAACACATAACTGAGTTTAAAGTAGAGTTTCATTTTTTATAAACGTCAGTGCAATTGGTTATTTACAACCGGCTTGACTGAGCATAACTGAAGAATACTTTTTGCATAATGTCACACTATCTTTCATAGTGTTGCCTATTGCCAAATAGTCATTTTAGTTGTGCTATAGTCTCTTGTCATGTGCTGTTTGCATGAGATGCAGCAGGGAATATTTGCCCCAGATTCTACATTTTATATACAGTGGGTAAAATAAGTATTGAACACAACATTTTTCTCAGTAAATATATTTCTAGAGGTGCTAATGACATGAAATTTTCACCAGATGTCGGTAACAACCCAAGTGATCCATATATACAAAGAAATCAAACCATAAATGTCCAGAAATGAAGTTGTAATAATGTGGAATGGCACAGGGAAAAAGTATTGAACACACTTACTGAAATTTATCTAATACTTTGTACAAAAGCTTTTGTTGTCAATGACAGCTTCAAGACACCTCCTGTATGGAGAAACTAGTGGCATGCATTGCTCAGGTGTGATTTTGGCCCATTCTTCCACACAAACAGTCTTCAAATCTTGAAGGTTTCGTGGACCTCTTCTATGAACTCTGATCTTTCGTTCTTTCCATAGATTTTCTGTTGGATTCAGGTCAGGTGATTGGCTGGGCCATTCCAGCAGCTTTAGTTTCTTTCTCTGAAACCAACTGAGAGTTTCCTTGGCTTTGTGTTTGGGCTCATTGTCTTGCTGAAATGTCCAGCCACGTTTCATCTTCATCATCCTGGTAGATGGAAGCAGATTTTTTGTCAATAATGTTTCTGTAGATTTTTCCACTCATCCTTCAATTATTTGAAGTTTTCCAGTACCATATGCTGAAAAACAGCCGCACACCATGATGTTCCCACCTCCAAACTTCACTGTTGGTATGGTGTTTTTGGGCTGATGTGCAGTGCCATTTGACCTCCAAACATGATGTGTATTMTGGCATCCAAACAGTTCAATGTTGGTCTTATCTGACCAGACTATATTCTCCCTGTATTTCACAGGCTTGTCTAAATGTTGTGCAGCAAACTTTAAAGGAGCTTCAACATGCTGTTTCTTCAGCAGTGGAGTCTTGCGTGGTGAGCGTACATACAGGCCATGGTGGTTCAGTGCATTACTTATTGTTTTCTTTGAAACAAWCGTACCTGCTAATTCCAGGTCTTTCTGAAGCTCTCCACAAGAGTTCCTTGGCTCTTGGACAACTCTTCTGATAATTCTTTTCACTCCTCTGTCAGAAATCTTGTGAGGAGCACCTGGTCGTGGTCGGTTTATGGTGAAATAATGTTCCTTCCACTTCTGAATTATGGCCCCAACAGTGCTCACTGGAACCTTCAGAAGTTTAGACATTCTTCTGTAACCGATGCCATCATTATGCTTTGCAACAATAAGGTTGTGAAGGTCTTGAGAGAGCTCTTTACTTTTACCCATCATCAGATGGTTCTTGTGTGATACCTGGCCATCATTTGGGACTGAACCAGCTGATATTAACTTGCACTGACAAGGGGCAGGCTTGCTTTCTAATTACTGAGAGAGTTCAGCTGGTGTCTTGTCTTTCCATGCCTTTTTACACCTCCCTTTCTTCATGTGTTCAATACTTTTTCCCTGTGTCATTCCACATTATTACAAATAACTTCATTTCTGGACATTTATGGTTTGATTTCTTTGTATTTATGGATCACTTGGGTTGTTACCAACATCTGGTGAAAATTCCATGTCATTAGCACCTCTAGTAATATATTTACTGAGAAAAATGGTGACGTGTTCAATACTTATTTTACCCACTGTAGTGTTTTTCAATTTTTTGAAGTGTGAAAATAATATGCAGTTTCTTGATACAATTTTAACATAATTGATGGTTGTGACTAAAGATGAGTACCACACATTGACTGATCTTTTTTTCTCACCCTGTCTCTGTAACATTGTTGTCATATTGTGTCACTCCTATTTCTACTTAATCCTACTAACAGACATTGTCTTAATTGTACACTTACTACGACTAATAAACATTTTGCACTGGGTTTTTCTTCTCTTGCTGTTGCAGGTTAAACTACCTCTTAGCTGGAGGCCTGCACCCCATTGGCTTCCATGTACTAAACATCATCCTCCATGCTGTCATATCTGTCTTTATGATTGACATGTTTGCCATACTCATCGGTGGACTGGATTATGATGACAAGGGTCGGACATTAAACCGGGCTCCAAAGACCACTCTACTTGCTGCCATCTTTTTTGCTGCACATCCTGTTCACACAGAAAGTGTAAGTAGAGCTTTGCTCTTAGGGTTTTATTTTTATTAAAGGATAGAAAGTAATCCCTAAAATATGTTTATTGACTAAATTGTAAAATGAATTGGTGGATTGCAAAATATATATATATACTGTACCTTTTTAATAATGAGCATTTAAAAAAAACCTTGGTAGAAAAAGTTAAAACAAAATGTGAGACCAACATTTTATTGTTTTAAACAATGTTTAATTCATTGACTTTCAGATGCTTTATCCTTTAAACTAATTTTATTATCCTCATCAGACATCTCACTTTTCGTTGTAGTTTTTTCCTTAATGCTCAAAGAAAATTCAGCCAAATTGAATTTTTGTTCTTTAAAGGGCCTTTACATTTAGTCAGAGATGGATGAGTACTCAAAAATTGTAAGAGTAGCAGTACTTCAGCATATTTTTACTTAAGTAAGACTGTAAGAGTAAAAGTTGGCCATCCAGGAATTACGAATGGCATGATTTTATTTTAGAATTTCTCAGCAGAGAAAATACATGCAATATTCTTTACTTTATCACAGCAACACTGGAGATCTAAAGAAATACAGCAGAAACTAAAAGTTTAATCTGAGATGCATCCTTTAAAACTGAACGTTTCTTATTTTACCTTTTCATTTCTTTTAATCAAAGATCTGTCAATCAGTACAATAAAAGCCATGATTTCTCTGGCTTTAAAAGTCACATGCATGTTTCTGCTTGTGTGTGAATGCCTGTGGGCTTCTTGGCAATTAGATGATAAGCAAATAATGCAAGACACAAGGGTAGGTAATGACTTTATGTATGAAACAATGTCCCCTACCTGTACTTGATCACCTATCCCTTTATTTCCTTCTGCTCATCTGATCTTAAATACATAGAAACTTCAGATAAATGGTTTGGTGATAAGATGTTGGAAAGGCTCTTTTTGTCATCTGGGGTATCTCAAAATGTCAGCAAGTATTTACAGAATATTCTACTGAGTTCTGAGTTTACCTTGGGATTGTTTCCCAATAGGACATGTTCATAAAACCTCCAAAATGAACGTCCCTTTGGAGAAAAACAGCCAAGACCTCCTCAGTTGACTCCTTTTGATGAGGAAGGGCCGACGGTCGTGGTAAGACGTGTAAGAAAAGCGTGTTCAGAATTGGAAGTTGGAATAAAATAGCAGAAAACGAGTTGATTCTCTACTAGAAAAGTTTATTCAAAAATCGGACTACATTAAGGCTGAGTGATAGTCGCACTTCTGAGCACAGGCACCCTCGCCCACAGTGGAGGTGTTTAWACTTGGCACTTACATGGCTGTAGATTTCTCCAAAAGTACACTTTATAACTTGTGAAAATGTAAGTAGGAGAGCAAAGGCTTGACAAACAAGCTATTTGAATGGTGCGCGGCGCACGCAGCCTTTGCAGAGTTACAAAAATTCGGAGGTGCGTGATCACATGCCAGGATAACGTGGGGCCAACGTGCTGGGGCGGGGACAACGTGATTGCGTCTCTATTGGTGCACACCCCCTCGCGCCCGGCACAACGTATCACCTATAACCCTAACTTTACAGTCGACAGGCAGCCAACACCAGGTCTCTGAGTAAAAAGGCCTAAGCCTTATCAGAGCAGCAAAATAATAACAAAGAAAAAGCAGCCTCTGTCCCAGGCTGCTCCAAAAGTAAGACTGAAGGGCTCGACACACGGGGAGCGACAAACTACAACGATTAACGGCTGTCATCGCAGCCAGGGTGAAACCCGACACACRGGACACGATAGCGATCACAGCTTTGCGAATCGCGCTCTCAGGTCGCTTGTCCTCGCGAAATTTGATTGGTTCTTGACTCTGAAGGCGGGTGTGCATTACGGACGTGTAAACTAAACAAATCTTGCGATGCTAATGATATTGAAAAACAAACACACATCAAGATACAGTTTTATGAGGAAAAACTTACCATAAACTTCACCCTGGTGCCAACAAATTCCCGCAAAGCTGCCTTTTTTAGTAATCACTTGGTGAAAGTGTTAGCTAACTGCAGTGTGTAGCATACTCTCCTCTCATTGGTCAGTCAATGAAACCCTCGCTGATTGGTTGTACGCTAAGCGGCAGTGACAAAAGTTGAACATTTTTCAACTTTCATATGTTGCGTCGCAAGCTCGTGTGTGCACGTCTACGTGTACGAGCGTGAAATTTCACATGCAGTATTTTCGCCGGTTGCTTAGATGGAGGAGGGTGAGCGATTGTCGCTTCACCAAACAGGCTCCATAGGAAATGAATGGAGAGCGAGCGAYGTCGCCTCCCGTGTGTCGAGCCCTTAATAAAGAATGATCACCCAGAAAGTCACATGGAAACCTGACTTTCTGGTCACAACCCTGGAGGCGGTACCTTTTTACATCAGACATTAGAATATAAACCAATTTTGTTTATGCAGAAGGCAGGGCTTCATAAGACCTACTGACAAGGGCTAGGTAAATAAGCTCTATTTAATCAATCTTGGATTGATTTCATTTAAATTTGGGAAAATCAATATATAAGGCATGAGATCAATATTTCCTCGTGGCATCTTGTACATGATGAAGCTGAGGTACATATCTATATTTTGTGTCACTCCTGGCTTGCCATACGTTTACATTCGGTTGATGTTCAGTGCTAACATTAGCATCCAACAAGAAGTCGACTGGGGCAAAACAAAAGAAACTAAGGAATCACATTACCAGCCAATTCTCCATAGGACTTAAAGATAACAGAGGCCATGGAAACTTTTGTTTGCAAAGACTAATGGTACATTCACACCAAACGCGTTTTGAGCATCTGGTTTACATGTAAAGTCAATGGTGGATGCGCATCTAGGGGCGTCTAGAAGCCGAGCAGCGCGTCTGGTGCATTTGGAGCAGCGCGGCTCGAAGCAGTGCACGTGCGGCACGTCCCAAGCGTCCGCAGCATGAGTTGGAAAATCTGAACTTTTGCTGCTTGATGCGTCGTATCAACCAATCCAAGAGACTCATTTTTCCACGTGACAGTTTCCTGAATGTTGCCCACTAAACCAAAACAGACGAACAGGAGATCTTTACCTGAAATCGACCATCTGCAGTTGGATTTTGTGGCTGGAGATATAAGTGCCGATGTGGGTCAGTTGGTAGCGTTAAAACAAACCGAACAAATTGCCTCTAAATCATCTGGTGAGTTAATTATCTCCTGCGTGCAATGTTCGCTTGCTCTTTAGTAAATAAATCAAAGCCATTTTCTTTTATTTTATCTTTATTTCACCCGCCGAGGACAGACGCTCCTCCCACACCCCACTGCTGCTGCTGCTTCTTCTCGTTCTGGTCTGTGAATGCGTCTTATTCTTAATTTCTTAAAATTTAATGTATCCAACAACACTGTCACCTGCAAGTCCATTTTTTATTTAAAACCTTTTGAAACTTGACAGTTTTGTTTCAAGATTAAGCTGTCCAATTTACAAGTTTGCTCTTAAAACCTGTTGTTCATGACGAAGAGAAAAAGATAACGTGAATTTCTGTTTTGCAACACAGTTGAAGCATTTTCATTATTTAAGAGCAGACTGAATCAAATTGAATTCARTCGAATCATGATTAATTGATTCAGAATCTTATGAATCAAAACTKAATCGGTTTAGAGAATTGGCTACGATACCAGTAGCCAGTGATGGGCACCATTCCGYTAAAGCGCAAATCCACTAATTACGGACCTAAACATTTCATTTGCGTTTTAGCGGTCTTACTTATTTTTGTAATTCATAAGCGGATTTGCACTTCCTAAAATTAAAACGCAGTACCGCTAATAACTAATTATCTACGAGTCTTCGTCATCTTGAACAGCAGAAGGTATGGCTTATCATTTAAAACATGGGCAGAACATCATCTGGTATCATAGTAAAGATAATTCCCTAAAGATTTCATTATTTTCYTGAACAGCAGAGAGGGCTTGGTGTCAGTGACCAACACCATGAGGAAACTCAGTATTGAAACACCACCCTCTCTGGCGTATGGTAAAATAACACAGAGCTTTATCCTGTGATTAACTGTTCTGCGTGACGGTTCTGAAACTCTCTCTCTCTCTCTCTCTCTCTCTCTCTCTCTCTCTCTCTCTCTCTCTCTCTCTCTCT